TTGAGCACCACATTGTCAGTGTGTGTTTGTGTGTGTCTGTGTGTGATGGAGTCTCTTGCCCCTTTTGGCTCCTTGGCAGATCTGCCCCATTCCTCATTATCTGAGTTAACACAACAGGCGTTCAGCACCCAGGCTGGGTCACCCAATGTACTGAGATGCAAAAAAGGAAAGGAAAGACAAAAGGAAGGGAGGAAAAGGGAAGGGAAGGGGGAAGGAAAGGAAGAGAGAAGGGAAGGAAAGGAGAGGAAAGGAGAGGAGAGGATAGGAAAGGAAAGAGGGAAGGGAAGGGAAAGAGAGGAAAGGAAAGGAAGAAAGAGGGAAGGAGAGGAGAGGAGAGGAGAGGAGAGGAAAGAGGGAAGGGAAGGGAAGGAAAGGAGAGGAAAGGAAAGAGGGAAGGAGAAAGGAAAGAGGAAAGGAAAGGAGAGGAAAGGAAAGAGGGAAGGAGAAAGGAAAGAGGGAAGGGAAGGGACAGGGTTGCAAGAATGAGCCTAGTCCTTGTGCTGATCCCAAGCAGCTGCCTGACTTGATCCACCCCATTAAGGTGCTGCTCTTGTCCTTTCTGATAGCAGAAGGACAGAGCTGGAAGGGACCTTGAAGGTCATCTAGTCCAACTCTCTGCTCAAGCAGGAGACCCTGGACCATTTCAGACAAGTGGCTGTCCAGTCTCTTCTTAAAAGCCTCCAATGTTGGAGCACCCACAACTTCTGGAGGCAACTTCTGTTGTCCTCCCTGTCAGGAGGTTTCTCCTTAATTCCAGGTTGCTTCTCTCCTTGATGGGTTTCCATCCGTTGTCCTCCCTTCTGGGTGCTTTGGAGATCACAGCAAGCAGTGTGTGTTTGAGTAGGAATGTGTGAGTCCAGGTTTTGTGTTTGTGTTTGCTGGATCAATTTAGGGTACAGGGAGAGCTTTGCATGTGAGAGAACTTTGGGTCACACAAGACTCCATTCCCTCCATTGTGTAGCAACCACAATGCTGCCTTCTCCTCCTCCTCCTCCCCCCTCCTCTCCCTCCTCCGCCCCCACTCCCTCCTCCCCCCTCCTCTCCAGATAACCTGAGCCTCCTTCTGTAAACATCCTGCCCATGTGTGGGGGGAGGGGGGCTCTGGCAGATTGCCAACCAGATAACCCCCGCTGGCTGATTGAAGGTGCGAAAGGGGGGGCGCCCTGCCAGGCCCTGCTGGGCTGGCAAGGGCAAAGTGGACTCCCAGGGCAGCCCCTGGGGAAGGTGCCAGCTTTGCCCTGTGCTGGGGGACGGTGTGTGTGTGTGTGTGTGTGTGTGTTTCTGGCCCTAACAAGGAAAAGAGGAGCATTTCCAAGGGAGGGAGGGAGGGTCTTCCTGTTAAATGGGCTTTAACTGGGCAGTGGGAGAGGACTCTTCCCCATGGAAATAAAGAAATAAAGAAAGAAAGAAAGAGAGAGAGAAAGAAAGAAAGAGAAAAAAAGAAAGAAAGAAAAAGAAAGAAAGAAAGAAAGAAAGGAAAGAAAGAAAAAAGAAAGAAAGAGAAGGGGGGGCAGCTGAGATTTCAGAAGAAAGCTGCTACTTGGATGTTACTTTCCTTCAGCTTTCCTGGAAAAGTCCTTCTTTGGAGAAATGCATTATAGGTGGTCCACGACTTACAACCACAATTGAGCCCAACATTTCTGTCACTAAGCTAGACAGTTAAGTGAGTTTTGCCCCGTTTTACGACTTTTCTTGCCAGAGTTGCTAAGTGAATCCCTGCGGTTGTTAAATTAGTCACCGGTTGTTAAGTGAATCCGGCTTCCCCATGGACTTTGCTTGTGAGAAGGTCGCAAAAGGGGGTCACGTGACCCTGGCGGGACAGGCGACCGTCATAAGTGTGAGTCAGTTAAGGATCCAAATGTAAATCACCTGATTCTGGGGATGCTGCAACGGTCGTAAGTCTGAAAAATGGTCATGAGTTACTTTTTTCACTGTGGTTGTAACTTTGAATGGTCACTAAACGAACCGTTGTGAGTCGAGGACTCCCTGCATTCAGAGGGATGGACCCATCAGCTGACCTGGGAAGACCCCCGAGCCGGCGGGAAGCCCAGCAGGACTTTGCATATAACATCTATTCCACCGGTGCTCCCCTTCCTCTTGCCTGCCTCTTTCCACAGCCTGGAGGGGAGTGGGCCCTTCTCATTCATGTGTGTGTGTGTGTGTGTGTCTTGTGTGTGTGTGTCTCTAAGAGGCACCCTTTGCTTGGCAGGCTGCCCACTTCCCCTTTCTCACGACCTCGCCTCTTCCGGAGGTCACCGGGCGTCCTTCTTTCCTGCCAAGAGGTCGGCTGTGGGGGAGAGGCAAAGGTCCGGCCAGAGCAGAGGGGCTGCCCAGCCCTGGGAGCGGCAGGGAGCGGCAGGGCCCAGAGGGGGCCAGGCCGGCGCTGGCCAGGGGCTCCCCTGAGCTGTGGCCAAGGAACTGGGCAGCCAAGCTGGGCTGAGCCCTCAGAGGGCCTCCCCTCACTTGGGTGTGTGCGTGTGTGTTCACGTGCATGCGTGTGCCACAGATGGGGTGGGGGGGGGAGAGAGGGTGGCAATCAACTCGGTCCTGCCCTTCTTCCAGCCAAGCGGTCTTGTGCCCAAGCAACAGCTGGGGGGGGGGTCTGGATTCCTCCCGGATCTGGGGCCGTTTCCACACCGTGGCGATGGGGGCCGATTCTTCTTGAGGTCCCCATTGTGGGGGGAGGAGTCTGAGGCTGTGCTGGGGGGGGGGAGAAAAGAGAACGAGCCTTCCTCGTGTCCCCCTCCTTGGGCGGGAACAGCTTGTTCCACCACTGTGGAATTGGGTCCCCCCGCCCGGCCCTTTGTGGGAGCGGGATGCATCTCTGGGTTGGGCCGTCCGCCTTGCGACCTAGAGGACAAGGAATCAGCGTCCCCCCCCCCCCCGAGGGACGAGGAGAGCGGCAACCTGCTTTCCTGAGCCGCCAGCAGTCCCCGGCCCCGCGACCGCTAAGCGCGGAGGGGAGGGGGGCTTGGGCAGCGTCGGGCGGAACAAGCTTGAATCCCCGCGAGGTGAAGGGGGGGGGTCTCCAGCGCCCCTCTGACAGTGACTGGCGGAATGCAGCGGTTTGTGCGGGCGGGGAGCGAGAGAGCGAGGGAGAGGAAAGTGGGCGAGCCCTGCCGGGAAGGCTCCCTCCAGCAGCCCCCGCCAGTGGAGGCCCCGGGAGGCGTGGGCTTGTGCAGACAGGGCCGGAGCCCCTTCCGCCCGCCCCCTCCTCAGCATTCCTCTGCCAGCACCTGAATGCCGGCAGGCACCTGGCCGACTCCGCAGGCCCTTGCGAGGGCGGGAGTTTGAGGCACCGCTCCTCAAGCCTCGGAGGGCGGAGGAGGCCCCGGGAGGGGAGAGCCGAGCCGGCCCTTTATCGGGCTCGCCCGTCTCCTCTGCAAATGGGCCGTGACCGGCAGGGCAGGGCAGGGCCAGGCGCAGCGGCTCCCGGGGAGACGCGGCGAGCGAGCGGCGAGTGCCGGCTGCCCCCCGCGCTTCCGCAGCCACATCTTGTCTGAGTTAGCGGGCAGAGGAGAGGCGGAGGCTGATCACAACCAGATGGGGCGGGTGTTAAATCATCACGGCCGGGCCAGGACGGGCGTGGAGGAAGCGCGCCGGCCAAGGAGAGCGGGGCCCGGATTTCCCCGCTTCCAGAGAGGCACCGGGCCAGGAAAACAGGCCAGATCAAGCCACGCCAGGCCCGGGAGGGGAGGGGCTGTAGTGCACGGCCCTCGCCGCGGGCAGAAAGCAGCCCTTGCAGGAGGGGAGGGACCCTCAGGGCTCTGTCAGGTAGCTCAAAGGGTGGGCCTCTGCCTCCAACTGGGGGGCCTCCAGCAGCCGGCCCGGCCCCCTGCCCTGCTCAGGCCACAGGCTTCGGCAGGCTGCTGTGTGTGCAAGTTAATCTCAGTTGATCTTAGCCTTGATGTGAGTTAACCTTTGTGCTCAGGGAAGCCCAAGAGGTCCCGTCTGTGGGGTTGCCGGGCCAAGGGAGAGCGGGCTGGGCCCAGAGTCCACATCCCCCGAGGAGCTGCCAGCTGCTCCACCGTCTTTCAGCTGAACCCAAATTCTGAAGGCCTCCCCCCCCCCCAAGGAACTTACAAGCTGTTTGCTCAATGTTGAAAGGAGCCCCACCTTGGCATTCTCTTCCTCTCAGTGACACTCCACCCTGCCCCGCCCTGTTCTTTCCCAGGGTGGCGGCTGCTCAGCCACTGGCAGCTTTGTGACCTGAGGAACATCAGAAGCTCCCGCTTGGGCCACCAGCGACATTGGGCCACCCTCTTTTTCGTGTGCCAGAAGCCGTTGCCATGCAAGGGCTGCCCAGAGAACCAGCTCCTCTGACCTTTTTCTCAATTAGGCTGGATTCACACATTATGAAAGCAAGCCTGATTTGAGAGAGGCTTGGGTCTAATCATGGAGGCTCTGACCACCCTCAGGAGAAAGGGTCCTCCTGGACTTTCCCCTGCTCCTCAAGAGCCGCCCAGTTGAAGCTGCTGGTCAGGGTCTTCCTCAGGAGCCCCGAGCTGCTTTCCCAACATGCCAGGTGTGGAAGTGGGGGGGGTCTCTTCCAGGGGCCCCAGATGTCCTGTCCTGAACCCTCCACCTGCTGCTGCTCCTAATCCATTTGCTGCTGATGGTCCCTTTTGTCCGGACAGTCAGCCTGTGTCTGGAAGAGATCTGTGTGGCCGTGGGGGTGCCACAGACAAGCCTTGCCAAGGAGGCCATCCGGAGCGATCCCTGGGGTCCTGCTCAGTTAAGAGAGATCCCCCCCTTGGCTCAGCTGCCCCTCAGGCCCCCTCAGCTGGCCTGGGCAGAGTCTGAGGTTCCTGTGAGAAAAAGCCCGGAGGGGGGCAGCCTGGACCTCCCCTCCCCCCAGCACCATTAGCACTCCTGGGAAGGTGCAGCTCTTGTCAGCGTTTAGGTGGAAGGCCAGGATCTGCAGATGAGCCGGCTCCCCCATCCAGACCCTGCCTGTAGCCCCTGCAGCAGCATTTCCCCCCCCCCCCGCGCAACCTGAGTGATGGTCAAAGTCTTTATTTCTATCAAGGCTTCCAAAAAAAGGAAGGGAAGGCTTTTTGTATATGAACAAATCAATCTTTGGTATTGCTTAGAAATAAAAAAAAAGACGGAAAGACGCGGAGGCACAATCCAAGAGGAGCGGAAGGTCCTATTTACAGGCGGGGTGGGGTGGGGAGAAGAAGCCAAGCGGGCAGTCACTGGGGGGCCTCCCACCGGCCCGCCCGCTGAGTCCGGGGCCAGGGCTGGTCCGCAGCGCTCACCAGGGTCTCCAGAGCGAGTCTGCCGGGAGCGACGGGGCAACCGATCCCGACGAGATGCCGGCAGGGGGAGGGCCTGAGCTCAGACCCCCGCCGGCGCAAAGTGGGACGACCGCGCTGCCGTGCGGTGCAAAGGCCGCGTTGGGGATGAGGAAGGCGAACTGCCCGTCCGACGCCGGCACCAGCTGGAAGCCGCCGCACACCTGGGCGCTCTCGCCAGCCGCGTTGCTGAGCTTGCAGGAAGCCACGCTGCCAGAAGGGGGCGCTGCGCCGGCGGGCATCTGTACCAGAGGCTGCCCCAAAGAGGCTCCTGGCTGGGCGCCGGGAGTCGTGGGCAGCGCTGCAGACTGTGGGGCGGGGTAGTTCAAGGCGCTGATCTGGCTCAGGCAGCCGGCCAGGTGTCCAAGCAGACGGTTGCGGACCTCCGTGTTCACTCCCTCGCAGGAGGAGAGGAAGCGAGTCACCTCGTTCATGCATTCGTTGAAACCTGCTCGGTACTTGCACAAGACGGAAGGATCCGTGTTGAGCGCCGCTGCCGGGAGGAAAAGAAGCGGCTGCAATCAGGGGAGGGGCCGACGGCCGTGTAGGCGGTGGCAGGAGCAGCAGCTCCGGACCCCTCCTCCCGCCCCCACCCCCAGGCTGCTAAGCACGGGCCCCTTTGACTGGCAGCTGCTCCCACCCCGCCAAGGAGGAAGGTCTGAAGCCGGCCAGGCTGCGGGCATCTGAGCCTCTGCACGCTGGACACTCAGGAGCGGCAGAAGGCTGCCCCCCTCCTTCCCCCGGGCTGCGAAAGGCCCCCCCGCCTCCACCTGCCCCCCCGCCGCCTCTTTTCCGGAACTGGAGCGACTTGGAGCTGTGGCTATAAATACTGCGAGAGGCAGACCGTGGGAACGCGTGCCTGAGCCAAGTCAGTAAAAGGCAGCTTGGATGGCATTCAAAAGCACAGGCGGAAGTCTGGAAGGAGTCACCCCTGAAGAGGGGAGGAGGGGGCGCGGGGGGGGGCACTCACCGGTCATCTGGGCCCGCTGCAGGTTCCGCAAGTGCTTCACCGTCATTTCCAGAATGTCCGCCTTCTCCAGCTTGGAGTGTCGGGAGCTCTGGGGGCAAACAGGAGGCAGGAGGGACATGAGCCTCGGGGGGGGGGGAAGTGGGGGGAGATGGGGGGGGAGAAATGACATGCCCCACCCTCAAAACAAGGAATCCCGCCCAGGGGTTGTTGGGGGGGGTCGTCCATCCCACAGGCCTATTGAGGACCTCAGACGTTGGGTGGGGGTGGGGAGAGGACCGGGGAAACCCCTCGCTGCGCCCTCCCAGCCCCAGCCGCCCATCTGCGGATCCCGCCCTGCGGCGCCCCAGGCTGCACCCCCCCCGTGGAAAAGGAGTCCAGAGCCGGGGGGGGGGCTTCCTTAGCTTCGCCGAGCCCTTTTGTGCCCACCCGTGGGCTGCCCGCCACTCACGTCCTTCTTGAGGGCGTCCAGGATGAGCGTCTTCAGCTGCCCCAGGCTCTCGTTGATCCGGGCGCGCCGCCGCTTCTCCATGATGGGCTTGGACGACTGCGGGGAGAAGGCGAGCGCAACGGTGGGCCGAGCCGCCCAGGGGCGCCCCCGCCCAGCGGCCCCGTCCTCTCCCCCCCGCCCGGCTCCCCCTTTACCTTCCGCTGCTCGGCGGCGGTGCGGGGCTTGTCCGGGGTGGCGTGCGCGCTGGCCGGGGTGGCTGCCGCGGGCGAGGAGGAGCTCTTCTCCATCGGGTCGGCGGGCATCGTGGCCCGGCCAAGGCCGACGTGGCCACGGGAGAGCCGGTGCGACTCGGGATCCGACTCGGGATCCGGCGCAGCGAACCCCGCGGGCGGGGCCGTGGCCGGGTGGCCCTTCCCAGTCCGGCGGGCGCCCTCCGCGCTTCCCTGCGGCCGGAGCTGCCGGGCTAGCAGCCACCCCCAGCCCCGCGCAACCCCGGCCGGCTCCCTGCCTGGCGGCCGCTATTTATAAACTGCCCTGCACGCGAACGGCTCGTGTGAAACTCGCCAAACTTTCTTTCCCACAGTGACTTTCAGCCAATGGGAGCGGGAGGCACGCGGCCCCGCTCGTGGACGGTGCCCACTCATTGGCTGCTCGGCGCAGCCACCGGTGGCCAATGGCGCACGCCTGGCCCCCGGGCACCAGGAGCCGCGCTGTCAATCACGCGCCCGCTTTAACCCTCGCGGCGCTGCCGCCCCGCCCGGCCGAGGAGGGCGCGCAGGTCGCTGCCCTCTGCGGTCGGCGGCGCCCGGCACGTGAGGCTCCCGGCCCCGCGCCGGCTCCCCACCAAGGGGAGCCCCTGCTCGGCCCCAGCCCCGGCCCCCACGCGTGGGAGGCCGTGGGCAGAGCGGCATCCAGGGGGGATGCCGGCCTCGGGCCTCCCTCCTCGGCTCCAGCCGCCTGGCTGTCCGCAGGCGCTGCCCCGAAGCGCGTGCCGGAAGGTCTCCCGCAGCCGCAGCCGCCACAAGGGCGGGCGGGCGCTGGGCGCCTCGGCGGCCGGGGAGAGAAGCCGGGCACGTCGCCCCAGCCGCCGCCAGAGCCTGGGAAAACCCCGCCTTCCGGGGAGGGAAGCGACGAATGCGGCCTCTCGGGCGGGAGAGGGCAGCGGGGCAGCGGCCTCCCCTTTCGGCGGCGCTGCTGGATTCTCCAGGAAGGGAAGGGAAGGGAAGGGGGCACAAAGTAACTCCCCGCTCGAAATGGCAGGTCCCGGGGTCAGCGGCTCGCCCCGGGCTTCCGCGGCTTCCGATTGGAGCCGGGTTGGTTCTGGACTCGGAACCGCCGTTGTGGGAACGCAGCCCGCGAAGGCTTGAGAAAGCCGCGGTTCGGTTTACAAGGCCTTTAACAAGGGGGGCGTCTCCCCTCCCTCCGGCCCAGTGTTCGAAAGGATCAAACGGAGGAATGTTTTTCATTCAAGGCAGCAAAGCTAATTAAAATAATATGCCGAGTTTCACGTGTAATTACGGAGCTGTTGATTTCAGTGGACAAAAACCAGCGGAGGGGCAGCCGGCAAGGAGAAAACTTGGGGGCTGGGGAGTTCCGTCCTAATCAAGCCTGGTAAGCAGAATGGAAGCATAGGGTGCTGGGGCCGGAAGGGGCCTCGGAGGTCTTCTAGTCCACCCCCCCCTCCGCCGAGGAAGGAGCCCTGCGCCATCCTGGACAAAGGGCTGTGCAGCCTTCTTTTGAAAAACTCCAGAACTCTGGGTTCCAGTTGTGGCTCAGTCGGGGCTCCGTGTGGCTCCTTCTTAGTCCAGATCCAAAGGAGGGGCTGCTGGTGGGGGTGGGGCTGAGTCAGCACCTTGCACTTCCTGAAAGGGGTCTGCGAGGAGGGAGCTCTCCTCCCTAAAACTGCCAGCCTGGTGTGCCAGATTCCCATCTTCAACAGACCACAAGGTGCTCAAAAACAGGGACAGTGTCTGATCCTGTTCAAATCCCCTCCCCCCCCCGCCGCCTCCTGCAGGACCAATGAGGAGCCACCACAGGGCACTCCTCTGGGATCTGCCTCCTGGAAGGTCTTGGCTCTCGGAGATGCAGCCCTCCTGCTCACCTGGGGCCTAAAATCATAATGTGGGGAGGGGGCTGCTCTCTGGCGGCTCAGTCTTCCTGTTGAGGTTCTGGAGAGGAAGCCAAGCCAGCAGCCGGGTTCCTTCCCACAGACTGAATTCCTCCTGGTTTCCTCCGCCCTACCCCCACCCCCCAAACTGTAAGGGCGGACCCACTGGAGCTCGCAGGATCTGCCACCCCCCCTTCTCTGGCAGGGTTGCTTGGCCTTCTGGGGGGGGGCAAAGGTGGCCTTGGAATCTCACTGGCTCTCATCCCCTCAGCCCCTTTCCAGTTCATTGGCCCGACCTTCATGAGATTTGGGGGAGAATGAAGACCTTGCTCTTTCCTGCTCTGCCTTTCACCCCCAGTTAATGGGCAAGCAGGAATCTGAGCCCCTTTTGCTATTAACGTGCACGGGATTGAATTAAAAGTCTTCCCTCGGTTTACTTTGGAGCCAGTCCTGGGGGCATCTGATTGAAATGCCTCTGAAGACCCCCAGTTCTCTCTGGAGACCCCCAGCAGACTGAAAGGGAGCTACAGGTCAGCCAGGCTGAAGTATACACTTTCTCTCCCCCCCCCAGTTCGGTTGGGTGGGGAAGGGGCAAAAAGCCCTGTCTGCCTTTTGACTACTGCTTGGGGGGGGGAGCAAAACCCTGGGGAGGAGAGAGCAGCAAGGCGAGCCGCTTTGGAGCATCTGCACACCGCTGCCAGTCCTGCAGCTGGGAGAGAGAGGCGAAAGGCCTCGGGGCTGGTCAAGAGTGTGCACAAAGGTGCTGCGGAGCCTAAGACCCCCAACTGCGGTTCCTTGGAGATCTGTGAGAGGGTGGCTGACTGCGGAAATTCGGGTCCATCGTTCCCTCCCTGCTGAGTGAGCGAGAGCTGCTTCGGAGCCCAGAAGGGGGGGGCTTAGATTTGAGCTCCAGGGCGCAGCCAGAGGGCAGGGCGCGCCGGGCGGGGTGGCGCTGCCTGGGCTGGCCTTGGGAGCGGGGCTGCGCGCCGCCAGCCCCGGTTCTCTGTGGCAACCTTTCCCAGAGCCTGCGAGGGCTGAGGAGAAGAGGAGCCTTCCTGGTCAGCTCAGCCAGGAGTCGGGGGCGGCAGGCCAGGTCCGGATCCTAGCCTGGGCCCACCGGCTCCCTTCGCAGCCGCCGCCGCGGCCTTTGTGGCCGATTCTGTGCTGACAGAGGCTGCTGCCCGACGGGGAAGCGGCCAGATCCCTTCCCTCCCTCGGCCGGCTCCGGCTCCCGCGCTGCTTTCGAGGGGGCGAGGAGGGGGGCCGTTTTGCCGGCGGCCTTTCTCCTCCCTTCCTTCGCTTGACTGACTTTCTCACACTCGCATTCCCACCGCCGCTCCGCCGGCTTAGCCTCAGTCCACCGCCTGCCAAGCGCCGCCTTGCTCGAGTGCGAAGCGCCCCCGGCCCCCTCCTCCTCCTCCTCGGCCAGGCTCAGCGCGGCCTCCGCCGCACCTGGCTCGCCCCCGCCGCCTCACCTGACCGCCCTTGCCCAGAGCGTGAGAGAAAGGGCGGTGGGAGGAGACCGCTCCGTCCCGCCAGGGCCCGGGGCGGAGGGGCCGGCAGGGAGCGCCCGCGGGGTGCCCCGAGGGTGGGGCCGGCCAGGACCTCGGCGCCTGCCCCGGAAATAAGGATATGCAGGCCCGGAGCTGGACGGCCGTTCGTCCACTTTCCTGCCCTTCTCCAGTCAGGCTTGGGACTGACCTTGTAGGTTAGAGGGGAAAGGGAACCCGTCCACCCACCCCAGAAGGGAGTAACTCCGGTATTCCTGCCTTGGGAGCAGCCGGGATGAGCAGCCAGGAATTGAGCAGGAGGCCCAAGCCTTTCTGAGCTCAGACTTGGAACAAACCCCAGGTCTTTGGCGCTGTGTGCCAGGGGAGTTTCCAGATGTGCTCTGCGTTCTTTCAGTACACAGACTTGGGAGTGCCTGGCGGAGGCAGTTGCCGGTTCATGGGGGAGGGGGGAGGGCTGTGGGCTTGCTGGGGAGGGAGACAGAAGTGGGGAAGCAGAGACAGGTGAAGGAAGCGCCTCTTCGGGGTCTGAGAAGCACCCCTGCCTTAGGGACAGCCAGCCGTCCTTCAATCTTTTGCTGCATGAGTTGTAACCCAGGACAACGTTGCTGTGGGTTTTCCTTCTGTGGTTGTGCTTTGCACGGGAAGTCAGGGCCAAATGTAAATGTCCCTGTCAAGCTTTCGGTTTGCTCTAAATGCACACAATATGTTGGATTTTTCTTTCGGGAACAACTTTGGCAGAGAATATTTTTACTGTTGTTCATTCTTTCAGGTAAAGTTATGGCTGAGTTGCTTTTCTGAACTTAGTTCTGCAGCCAGTTCTAGCACAGATAAGAGTAGTGGTCTGTAAACCTGTAAATCTGTTGTTTCCTATGCTAGTGTGGTTTTTTTTTTTTTTAAATTAAAACCCCATTATTTTGGACAACTTCTCTGTCTGTTGAATTGTCCCTCTTTCAATCCAGGGGTTAGATATATTGTCCATCAAAAAATGCCATCCAAGGTTAGGCTGAGGCTTAGGGTTAGGATAATTGTCAGACTAGAGCTGGAAGGGATCTTGGAGGTCTTCTAGTCCAACCCTCTGCTCAAGCGGGAGATTCTACATCATTTCAGACAAGTGGCTGTCCAGTCTCTCCTTAAAAACCTTCAGTGACGGAGTGTCTGAAGTTCCACTGGTTAATTGTCCTCACTGTTAGGAAGTTTCTCCTTAGCTCCAGGTTGATCAGTTTCCACCTGTTAGTTCTTGTCCTGCGTTCAGCTGCTTTGGAGAACAGATGGTTCCCTCTCTTCTTTGGGGCAGCCCCTCAGATACTGGAATACTGCTATCGTGTCCCCCCCAGACCTTATTTTCTCTAGACTAGCCAAACCCTGCAGCCTTTCTTCATATGTTTTTGTCTCCTGGCCCTTAATCTTCCTAGTTGCTCTTCTTTACACTTCCCCCCCCCCCCTAAGGTCTTAAAGTTTTCTGGAATGTGGCGACCAAAACTGAATGCCTTATTCCAGGTGTGGCCTTACTAAGGTTTTATAAAGCGATACTTTATAAAAACATAGTAAGCACAAATTGGATTCCTGTTCTGGATCAAACATCTGTGCAGTTTTCACTCTGCTAGATGCATGAATGAGGACGGTCCGGGCTCATAAAGCAACACAGCCAGTTAAATCTTCTACCTGAGAGCGTCAAGTCTCTTAGAGCAGGGGTCCCCAACCCCCACTCCATGGACTGGTACCGGCCACAGCATGCCAGCAACCGGTCTGCGCAAACAAGCAAAGTCCCATCTTTGGGATGCAGGCAGCACTGAAAACCACACACACCCCGGTCCACGGAAAAACCTCTCTCCACAGGTCCCTGGTGCCCAAAAGGTTGGGGACCTCTGTCAGAGGCTGTTGGAGAGACTTCCCCGCAGAGACAAAGCTGAGGGAGTCTTGGTCTCTGCAAAAGCAACTGGGCCTGGTCCCTGTTGGTTTCCCCTGGGGAGGTGTGGATGCGGGGGGGGGGGGGAATCTACTTCAAAGATCTTTCAGGGTTACCTACAAGGATCCCAGGTACATTTTCCAAATGAGCTTCCCCTTTAGCAGCCTCTTCTCAGAAGGCACCCTAAATCTCACAGACAAGCTGACAACCCCCTGACTTATGAAAGCACAATAATTATGGCCAAAGTCTGCATCTTTTCTGGAATTATGTATCCTGTACATTGCATATTTCAGGGAGATGATTACGCCCCCCCCCCTCCAGAGCAGCACTGACCAGGACTGAGCTTTTTGTCCCTCTCTCCCAGGGCCAAGCAAACTGAGTTTTGCAGTTGGTGGGGAGCCCTTTACCTTGGCCAAACCTGCAGGGTGGGAAGTAGCAACTGATTGCTCACAAACACCTTTACTGCTTGAGGAGGAAGGGGATGGGGAAGGGCAGACAGCGATGTTAGACCTGCAGCTAGATGGGACCAGCTGGTCAGCAGGAACCGAATCAGTCACCTGGCTGCGAACCCCTCCCCCCAGCTCCTTGGAGCAACAAGGGCACCCTACTTGTTTAGCAGGCCCTGTGGTCAGCCGTTCTCTGGCCCAGTTGCCCTGCCCAGAGGCTGCTGAGGCTGTTGGGATG